ATATTAATATTTAAAAAAATGACTTATTAAATATAATATAAAATTTTGTTTTGTTTAAACACTATTTTTATAAATCACAGTGCTTACTGAAAACTGAAATTAATAAATAAATATAAATAGATTCATCAGATGAAGGTGATGGTCTTGAAGACGAAGATTTAGAAAGTGAACCTGATGAAAACTGGGATGAAATGACAAATGAAGAGGAAGACCAAGACAAAGATGATCAAGAAGAGCAGAATGATGAGGATGTCAGAAATACGAATTCTGATGGTACAGATGAAGATTCTACATTCAGTTGAATTAATGTAGGTAAAATTATAACAAATTATTGAAATTGTAATTAATAACAAAATTATTTAAATGTATTTAAATGCAAAAATTTAATCAGTTTAATCAAATCACATGATATATTTTCTAAGACCATGATTTGAAAACTCAAAAATAAGTTATAAGTTTCTCCCATTAATTACTTATAAATCATTTTTATACATTTACAAAAATTTAATATTAGAAATATATTAAAATTTAATATTCGGTAATAATATAACTTAGTAAACTTTAATGTTCTGTTCTATTCCAGTGAACGTTGGTGTTCCTGAATGTATTAAATATGACAAAAACAAAAAACAGAAAAACCTTTAACTGTTAAATAAATGACGTTTTTCTACATAAACTATTTACTTTTATTGTTACTAAATATGCACACATCATATCTTCTAAATAAGGAATAATTTTATACTTTTAATTTTAATTTGGAAAATTTTTAGTTATGAACTGGCTTATCATCTAAAAAGCAAAATAAAGTTAGATACCAGAATGAAATGAATACCATAAAAAATTTAATATTAAAAATGAATAAATTTTTGTCTATAAATGAACAAATGTTTGTTAAAACCTTGGGCATAGTTGTATTTTGTGTTCGATTTCTTTCAAATGTCTTTTTGAACATTGGCGCCGTCGCTCTGATCGCTAAGAATATTAATCTATATACATAGTAAAATTTTAAAGTTTTGAGGTTATAGGAGCAAACGGTGAGGTATGTTGTTTGAATGTTTTTATCGGAAAAATAGCAACTGTGGGTAATTTTATAAATATATTTAAATGAATGAAATTT